ACGATGGTGGTGAGCAGCAACGGGTGTGTGAGCAGCGTTTACTGGACGGCGGTCAGCAGTGGTGGCTTCAGGGCTGAGCGGGTGTTGGGGGATCAGCATGCTGGCGCAGGTGAGTGTTTGATGTAGGCAATCAGCAGGCAGCGACGGCAACATCAGCAGCGACAGTGTCACAGCGACAGCCTCGGCAGCAGCAGCGCCAGCCATCGTCAGCCCCCCGTACGGTGTGCGAGGTGCTCTTAGTGCAGCCTAACGAGCCCTATGGGTGTACGACTGGTGACCGCACGCAGCGCTAAGGGGTCTGTAGATTACCGGCGCGGGAGCAGCCTGTGAACACGCCGTATCGGCCAGCCAGCCAGCCAGCCAGCCAGCCAGCCAGCCAGGCAGGTGCCGACAGGTGACAGCCGATGGGGGATGACGGTGGTGAGCAGCAACGGGTGTGTGAGCAGCGGTTGCTGGACGGCCGTCAGCAGTGGTGGCTATGATGGTGGTGAGCAGCAAGGGGTGTTCAGCAGCGGTTGCTGGACTGCGGCCAGCAGTGGTGGCTTCTCTGCGGAGCGGGTGTTTAGTCATCAGCGAGCTGGCGCGGTGAGTGGTTGATGTAGGTGGCCATCAGGCAGCGGCAGCAGCGGCAGGGACAACGGCAGCGGCAACGGCAGCCGCAACAGCGTCACAGCGACAGCCTCGGCAGCAGCAGCGCCAGCGATTATTGTCAGCCCGCCGTACGGTGTGCGAGGCCTCAAGCAATTGAGCTTGCTCTTAGTGCAGTCTCACGAGCCCTATGGGTGCAGTCTGGTGACAGCACGCAGCGCTAAGGGGTCTGTAGATTACCGGCGCGGGAGCAGCCTGTGATTACGCCGTATCGGCCAGCCAGCCAGCCAGCCAGCCAGCCAGCCTGGCTTCGACAGGTGACAGCTGGTGGGGGACTACAGGGGTGCGCAGGAAAGGGTGTGTGCGTGGCAGATGCTGGACGGCTGTCAGCAGTGGCGGCTTCAGGGCTGAGCGGGTGTTTAGTCATCACCATGCTGGCGCGGGTGAGTGTTTGGCGTTGGCGGCCATGTATGTTGCCTGAGGGCCACTTGAACGCCATGAGCTTTCCGTTGAACCGGCTGCCGCAATGCTGTCTCCTGCAATGTGATTACGGACACTGGTTCCCATCATGTTCTAAGTTGCTGGGTCGCCTTTGCTCTATTTTTGCATGCGCAGGCATTGACAGCTGCGGGCGCACCCACACGCATCGTTGCTCATTCCTGTACAGGTGGTGCTGGCAACACCATAATATGGGATCGCTGCCCGCCTTGTGCCTGCGCTGTTGTAGTGCAGCGTTCTGCCCCAGCGTTGCGGCTGCATGCGAGCCTGTGTGTGGCGCGGGAGCTGCACTTTGAGGCGCAGGACTGCGGCGGCCTGCAGCATGGCCATGCCCCAGGCTGAGCTGGTGCGGGAACAGGTCTGGACGATGGTGCACCGCAGCCTAGGCCAGGGCTTGCGGGTGCTGCGGCCGCATGACGGGGTATTGCATTAGTAAGTATAGACAGCGACCTGGGCCACTGCTCATCACAGAGGGTTTAATGATGCCTTTTGCATGCCTAATGGGAGCATTTGATTCACTACAATGTGGGTCTGAAGGTTGGGCAGCCTTGTACATACACACGTACTATGAACGCTTGTGCACAACCAGTAACTGAATGTCAGCACTTTCTGGTGAGGGCCCTGATAAGGACGGCAAGACGGCAGCCTGCTGCTGCTGCTGCTGCTGCTGCAGCAACAGCAGCAGCAGCAGCAGCAGCAGCAGCAGCAGCAGCAGCAGCCGCCGCCGCTGCCGCTGCCGCACCAGCATCAACAGCAGCACTGAGATGCAGGAAGCCAGGTGGGCTATCGACACGTGGCCTTTCTGTTGGCTACAGGTCGCCTTATGCTTACACGTACTTTTGTTTATACAGTTCATCAAGTGCTTGCTACGCTACGTGTGACACACATACAGAACATTCAGTCCATGCGGGTCAACTTGCGCCCGGTCCTGGGACCCCTTGTGTTATGGCCTGAAGATGATGCTCAGAGTTGGAACCAGCGTACTGTTTGGTACGACTGGCCCGCTCGGTGCAGGTTGGACTAGGGGCACCGTAGCGAGTGCTCAGCGCACTGCGAGCGGCATCACATATAAGGTGGACCACGCCAAGGTGATCAAAAGAGTGCTTGAGCGCATGTGTACAGTTAGCCGCGTCCAGGCAGGCACGTTGTTCTCTTCGGGCTGCTGGCATGCACCTGGCTGGGCGCAGTACGCGCACTCCGCACACCGCGCTGTGCCACCCCTTCACTCATGCACATGGTTACGACAACCGCCAACTGATTTTGCTTTCAAGGTGGGGTACGGGCCGTACAACAGGAGTTCTCTCCTGTGCGACGGCACGCACCAAGCAGTGAGGCCCGAACCGCCCAAGGCACTGCTGCAGTTCCCAGTCGGCGCCGATGACTACGCGGGCATGGCAGTCTGGATGCGGGAGCACCTGCACTCGCCGACATACGACATGGGGTATCTGACAGGCTCGACTCACATTGACCAATACTTTGTGCTGCAGGAAGGTGAGCTGTCAATCCCAGGGTCATGGGCACAACAGCGATGACACGCGGTGCGCTGGCTGGGGATCAGTGAGCCCAAAAAAAGCCTGAACGGTCACACAGGTCTTGAAATCAACAGAGAACGGTGTGAAGTCATCATGACATTATGGCTGCTGCAGGCTTCATCCACTCGTGCACACCAAGCAGCGTTTCTGCACACTGTCCCCTCCCTCGACCCCTCCTTACAACTGGCTTTTCTTGTGTACGGCGTGCGGAACAGGGGACTGTGAGTTCAGCACATACCCCTCCCAGCAGCTCAGCCCAGCGCTTAGGTTCAGCCACGGGCACTTCCAGCCACAGGACGGTGGCCCAGGCGTGTGGGGATGGGGCTTCACATTGCGCCGCCTGGCAGGCCCCAGCAGGAGCAGTGTTCAGGAAGACCGCCTCTACGGGCATTTTGCCAGGCCGATGGTCGCCTATGCTGCCATGTGCATGGTGGCCATGCGCGAGGGTGGAGACAGGAGCAGCTATGCGCTGCAGAGCCTTGCGGACGTCAAGACTGTGAGCATTGCAAAAGATTTGCTTTGGGGCTTGTGTGTGTGTGTGTGTGTGTGTGTGTGTGTGTGTGTGTGTGTGTGTGTGTGTGTGCACGCGCGCACGCGCACGAGCACTTGCGCGCCGGGCGCACTCGTACGCATGCAAAGGCGCCTACAAACCACCGTGTTGCTGTTGATTATATGATTTCAACCCAATGATTATGTACTCAAGCAGCCCACTGCAATCAGCACAGCTCTTTCGGCCCGCATACCACACCTCTTCCCTGCTCACAGCTGCAAACCTAGCATCCTGACGACTGGCTCCCTCGCATGACCCCTCGACACTAGCTCCTGGGCGCGTACTACCAGCTGGGGGGCCAATATGAGAATGCAGAGCAGGCGCTGACGGACGTGCTGGCCAAGGCGCGTACGCCGTTCTCCCGCATGCCAGCAGCTGCCGCCGACGCTGCCGCCGCGGCGCACGGCGGCGATGGCGGTGCCGGCGAGGATGGGGGCGCCATTGTGAAGGGCGGGATGGCTGCGGCGATGGCGGCGGTGGGGCCAGGGGAGGGGCGCGCCATTCAGGAGCAGGCACCCAACGCGCTGCTGCAGCAGCAGGGGCAGGCACCCGCAGCCCCGGAGCAGGCAGCTCCGTCCCCCAAGAAGGTGAGTTGCTGAGAGCAGGCCGCTACATACACGCGAGCGTTGCTGGTTGCGGTGGATCAATGTTGCCAGTCGTATCCAGGATTGCCACTTGTCAGCTGGCCTGGAAGGTTTCTGGCTTGGACGGTTGCGCTCAGCCCGACCCCATGGACACAAGGTTTTTGCCCGCCTACCACAACCACAGGCGCGCCTCGTCATTTCGATGGATGTCTTTGCTGCCGTTGCCAAGATGTTCGAGGCCATTGAGACCCACATGCCCAGCCCGCCCGCAGCCGCGCGTTCAACGGCCGGCGGCGCTGCAGGTGCAGGCGATGCAGGTGGTGCGGTGCCGCTCGCCGCACTCGCACCTTGGGGCGGGCAAGGGCAGCGGGCACCACTCCCGGGGCTGGTGGGCGAGCCGCCGCCGCCGCTGCCGTTCTCGTATCTGCCCCAGCTGGCCCTGCCAGCGCCGCCTCTGCCGGTGCCAGAGCTGCTGCTGCCGGCGCCGCCACAGCTCTCGCAGCCGCCGCCACTGTCGCTGCTGCAGCAGCTGCTGCTGCGACTGATGCCCCCGCTAAGCCCGGATGGCCGCAGGGCTGGCTGCAGGACGGTCACGACCGCCAACGATGCGGTGGATGTGCCGGGGCTGTCCCCAATTGCAAGGGCGCTGAAGCCGCAGGCGGCCCCCAAGCCCAAGCCCAAGGCGGCCCCCAAGCCCAAGGCGTCAACGCCCAAGCGGCCCCGCACCCCGCGGGTCCCGGGTGCAGCGGCGGCCGAGGCGGGGCCGGGGCGGCTGCCACAGCCTCCGGGAGGCGGCGCCGTTCCCGGGCCAGTGGTGGTCGCGGGGCTGGGCTTGACGGCGCTGCCCAATTGGGAGCTGCTCTCGCCTGAGAGGCAGGCATCGGTGGCGTCAACGTTCGCCGCGGCGCAAGAGGCGACCGTTGCCCTGGCGGTCGAGTACTCGGCGGTGCTGGCGCGCAGCCGGGCGGCTGACACTTTGGCTGCCGCGCTGCCCGCCGCCACGCCCGCGCCGCCGCCGCAGCTGGGGGCGCTGCAGTCCGCCGCTCCCGCGGTGCCGGCGCCCGTGCCGTCGCCGCAGCTGGGGCTGCCGCCGCAGGTCGCTCCCGCGCCGCCGCCGCCCGCGCCGCCACCGCAGCTGGGGCCGCCGCCGCAGGTCGCTCCCGCGGCGCTCGCGCCCACGTCGGCCGTCAGCTTGGCGGCCCTGCGCGATGCGGTGGTCGCCGCGGCGGCCGAGGGGCGGTGCGCGGACGTGGTCGCGGCGGTCGCGCGGCTGGCTGACCTGGCGGTGCAGCAGGCCGCCCAGGGGCACGCGCTGCCTGAGCAGGGGGCCGCACAGCTGTTCTCAGAGCTGCTGGGCCCGCGGATGACGAGCGCTCTGGCGTCGGCCGTGGCCGCCGCGCCCGCCCTGGCCGGCCACGTGCGGGCGGCGCTGCAGCGCGCGGGAGTGGCCGCGGCGCCTGGCGTGCCATACTATGCCTTCGTCACGGGGCTGCTGCTGGTGCAGGGCATCTCCACGCCAGAGGCTCTGCTCGCCATCGACCCGGCCCAGCTCGCTGCCGCGTACCAGCTGCCCTCTGTGGCTGCGGCGGCACTGCCTGCAGCGCGGCGCGCATGATGGGTGGTGTCCGCAGTCTCAATGCTGACGGAGCTAGGCTGCGCTTGCGCTGCCCATTGACCCACTAGAATAGGTTTGACTCGGGCTGGTGGCTCCGGCCCCCGTGTTTGGTTTTGACCTGTGCAGATGGCGACCCGATGTCGTGACCACGCCCATTTCCCCTGACCCCCCGTTTTCCGCCTATTGTCGTTTGCCAATTTCGCACTGCAATTCGCTTTTGCTTGCGTGCTTTGGTTGCATCATGCAACCTGGAGATGCCAAGATCCTGCAGAGTCAGCAAGGATGCGTGCACAGGGGCCAGTTTGCGGCTGGGTTTGTCAGCCGGACCAGGGGAGGGGATGTGTGAGGTGACCCGCAGGGGCAGGATGCTCACCGTCTGTCAGCAGTGCGAGTCGGGGATGGCAGCAGGAGCGAGTGGCCCCAGAACCTGCAGCCTCGCCGAGCCAGTCAGCTGGCAAGGTGCGTGCGCAGGTGTGTCGAGCAACGCTGTAGACTTCATCAGGTCGCAGCGAGGGTGTCCCTTGCTCAAAGGCCATTGGTGACACTCATATCAGGTAGGAAGCCGTCGGATGGAAGCACCGGCCTTTTGTCCTGACGTCATTGTCCCGCGGCGCGACCAGTGTCGGCTGCCGGCACCCGCGTCACTCGCGCCCGCAAGAAGCGTGCGGTGCGCTGCACCTGTGAAAGCCTCAATGTCAAATATGGTGGGAAATCAGGTAGAAAGCTCTCAGACTTGCATCGGTCGATCGCGTGAAAGATGTCATCAAAGCGGCAGCGCAAGCACAAGGAACTCGGCTCTCTCAAAACGAAACAACATGCTCCTCAAATCGATGCGCTGGACCTGCTCGGGGAGGTGGACGAGCTCGGCGACGACGGGTGCGCTGCGCACAGCCCGCCGCCGGCTGGCGCATGCCGCACGTGCACCCTTTGCCGCTGCAATTGCTTGAAGGCTGCAGCCTCGTGCGACACGCATGCAGCCTGGTGTATGTAGCATCCACATAATCCGTATGGCGTTTTCCGCGCGCTCACGAACGTTTCCCTCCGCCTCGGCCCTCGCCAGCCTCAACGGCAGCAACGCCCTGATCCTCACCGCCCAGCCCAAGGGTGGCAAGGCGGCCGCCAAGCAGGCGCGCGCGCAGGAGCAGCAACAGCGCGCGCTGAGCAAGGCGGAGCAGCGGAAGCTGAAGCAGGTGCAGCTGAAGAAGGAGCGGCGCGACGGGTTGGAGCAGGTGGGGCTGTCTTGCTGCATCACCTCCGCATGCCCTGTGTGGGGGCTTGCCAGGCTCCTCCACGCAGCATGGGGGCTTCGGGGCTGTGGCCATGGAGGTGGCCGCGGCTGGGCTGGCACTGATGCGGGCGCATGCAGGCGGTGGCGCATCCTTTGCCGGTTGCGTTCTTGCAGGGCTGGCCGTGTTGAGATGTCGTTTGATGTCAAACTTTAGGTCCTGAAGAGCCATGCGTCGTCATCACAGCGAAACCGCGTGCCGCGCACGCAGGTGTTCACCCAGCTGCAGCAGAGCAGCGTCGCCGACGACCGCCTGCAGCTGCTGCGCCCGCTGCACATGCGCGGCGCGCGGGAGACGAAGAAGCAGCGGCTGCGGCGCGCGCTCAAGCTGCAGCGCGCCGGGGTCGAGACGGAAGCTGCCGCAGAGCTGCTGGTTGAGCGGCGTCGGCCCAGGGGCAGCTCTGGCGGCGGTGGTGACAGCAGCAGCGGGAGCGAAGGCAGTGATGACGAGGAGAGCGACGAGGAGGCGGGGCGGTCGGCACGATTCGGGGCGAAGGGCGGCGCCGCGCAGCCTCCCGTCGCGGATGAGGGCGAGCGAGTCGAGCGAGCAGAGCAGCAGCAGCAGGGGCAGTGCGAGGTGCCTGCCAAACGGCAGAGGGTGGACGCGGGGCAGCAGCAGAGGCAGCAGAAGGAGCAGCAGCCTGCCCAGCGTCCGGCCGCGCAGCCCGTGGAGGGCGCCAGCGACGAGGAAGGGCCGGCGGCGGCAGCACATCAGGAGAAAGGAGAGGATGGTGGTGCTGGGCCGAAGAAGGGGGAGCAGAAGGGCCGCAGCAAGGCAGAGCGGGACTCGCTGCTGGCGCAGGCGCGCGCCGAGGCGGCCGCGCTGCGCAGGGAGCATGGCGTGACGAACGAAGACCCCGACGAGGCCGCGCACCTCGCGCGCCGCGCCAAGGAGCGCGC